TATCACGTCATACGCATAACCAACAGTATTTTTCTTGCTTCTTAGACAGTACCTAAAATCATAATATTTCCTCCCAGCTCGGAAGGTTATTCTTATTGTACTCGGAGTTTGTGTACAGTTGGTTAGTATATATAGTCATATAGAATATAGATTATGCGATAACTTTCAAAAAACATTGTTTTTAGCAATTTGAAGCACGTGTAAAAATAAAGATAAAAACTAATTGTTTYATCATTTATACATAGCCGAGCATGCTATACAGAGATATTGATCTCCTCCCTCAATAGGTTTCTGTATAGACGACAGACGTGTCTGATAGATATACTGAATTATAATTTTGTAAATTAATGCCAAAACAGCAAATGTCAAGTAATAGTTAAATATAATTGTGTAAAATGTATTTCAATACATCATATTATTATATATATTTATACAACAAATTTTATTGTATAAATGAAATACAAATCCGAAAAATTCAACCGATCAACACCAAATTTTCCATAYATGTTCAATTCATTCTTTGTAGGAGTAGCCGGGTAGGATATACCATATAWAATTTTTAGTAAATAACAAWCAATAAAGAAATATCACAAACGAGTATAAATTTAAAATGACTTCCAATAACAAGACAATACCTTGTAATTTACATTTTTTATGGATTTATTCATACTATTGATAAAAATTGCGTTTCTTGAAAAYAGAAAAACGAAATAGTTGCAGAAATAAGAAAAAACATTTAAGTAGAAATGTCGTTTTCTATATTAAAGTATAGTTTTAAAATCAAAAGCTGTCCAATATACATAAAGAATATAATGAAGACCTAGATTTAAGTAAAAAAGTGCTGCAGATAGACTATTACCTAGGTACGTATGTTGCAGCGTCATAATAACATAAATATATTTTACTGTAACATAATTAATGAAAATTCTTTTTCGAGACTATTTTTGAACATTTTAAGTTCAGTAACATCTGCWATAAAAATGTGACTACGTTTATGCAGTTATACTTATATTATTTATTTTCATGTTTATAAGTACCTACATGGTAGATGAGCTTTTATACATTAAAAAAAAAGTGGTGGCCTAATTGCGGATATCGTTCACACAAATAATATGTTTTTGGGCACACTTATGGAGCTGATATTCTTACATTACCATAATAACCTGATAATATTTACCCGTTGTCGTTTTTATTAAGCCTGAACTTCGGTTTGGCCACCGGAGTTGTGGTTTTTTTCAGTATTCTCAGCGAGTTAGTAACGCCACCATCCATCGCAGTAGTAGGTTTTTCGATGAGACCATTGTAAGCTTGTTTAGCTTCTTCAGTTAAACATCCCTATACAAGTGTGAGCGTAGGAAACCGGCGGAAGGCGAGAGAAGGATAAATGGGAAGCAAAAAAATAAAATAAAAACTCAAAAATAAAACACAAAAATAAACTAAATAACTGAAAAACGGCGTTAAAAATGTCTATTTTTAAAAAATATTACTAGGTACTTAATAAGAGTCGTTTTACCAACTAAAATCTATTTAATACGTATATAAAAATTTGAGCATTATATGATAAATGGTTATAGCTATAATACCATAGACAAGCCAACAACAAAATTACAGTTTAAGATTGTAAAAAGTTTCATTATATAAAGGCACTGTAAATTATATTATACTTATATTCAATGTAAAAAATACAAGATCACAAGCAATGAAGCAGTCTCTAAACGAGTACATTAGATTGATATGTGTGCTACCAAGTACCAAATTTAAGAGTATTAGATTGTTGAAAATAAATTTAATTTAACCATATTTAGTGCTAGTTTTATTTTAAACATGCATGTGCATGACGCATAATATATAGATGGCATGTGCACATATTTGGACAGTTATTTTTCACATATCCGTAAAACGAAAGCAATATATATATTATTATAGATTTTACAAATCATTGAAACAGGATATTTTTGTAAAAAAATTATTTAAATATTTATTATTTTTTAAGTTTATTTATATATTTCGACAAACAAATATATAAATCGTWCAAATTGCAAATTAGTAATACCTACTCATGTCTTACGCATCGGGTATATTATAATCAAATGYATGTTTGCGTACGTTAATTCGTCTGAAGACAATTATTTAAGACAAAACTACTAAAATCTGAGAATTTTTTTTTGCATTTCAAGTTGTTTACAAGTAATTATCGGTTTACTTAAATTTTACCTTACTATAAAAAAAAAAGTTTTGACTATAAAATATAAACAAAAAACTTATTTATTTCRATTATAATTTATAATAACTCAATATTATTCATGACCTGTAAGCAAAAAAAAAACCAGCTAAAAACTTTATATTGAAACCCCTGCAATACATATAAATTATGTATACATAAAAAAATACAAATTGAGAAGGTATTTTAGCCTATCATTTAAGTTTCACTTTATAAGGAGTTACAATATTTCTGTTAAAATACAAAACATTATTATTCCACCAACTGTGTAGAGTGTGCAACGAGCATCGTATCAGTTTAAATCATTATATATAAACAAAGTGTGAGTTCGAGCCCACATGTGAATATAGTTAAACAATTTCTGAGTTATTCCTTAGAAAAAAGCGCAGCGGTGAATGCTAAGACAGAGAAATAACTATAATAATTATCCACAGGTCCGGCGATGCAAATCATATTATGATTTACAGCTGGTTGAACATTAATAAGCCGTATACAGCGAACACACTGTGTTAAACATAATATGAATATCTATTATTCTTTTAATACCAATGAAAATTATAGATAAGCAAAAAGCGTTCTAAATAAAAGTATGTAGTATTTTCGTATGTTTCTATCAAATCCACTTTATAGAAACATATAAAATAAAATAAAGTATTAAAATGTAAAATATTATCCTATTAACGAAAAAAATTGAAATAAAAAGTGAAAAATATATTGTGTTTTTAACAGAAAATTATAAGTCATTAATTATTGTAATAAAAGTATAAAACAATAATCTCAATATAACACAACTAAAATTYAACTTTCTGCACAGTAACTATATATAAACACAGCTGCTATTTACAACAACTACTAAAAAATATTATAAGCAATTACGAATACCACTACTCAGAGTTCAGCAGTCTCGTCATCGATCAAACAGATATTTATAGGAACTTTGTTTAGAACATCGTTGGAATTGTATAATACGCTACTCTCGGAATCAGACAAACTTCGTCTCAGTTTGTCACATTTTTTGCTATTGGGTAGAGTATTTGCTCGAAACGTTTCAACGTTTTTTGTTTTATTCCTTAGTTTAGGTGAACTGGGACACGAATATTGTTCACCAACTAGCGTTTCGGTAGAGTCGACATTGGAACGTTCGATAGTCTTCAATGAGTTACAAGAAATGTAATCAAGTGAACCTATACTAGGAGAGGCCTTGGTCAATAACTCTCTAGAGCGCGCAAAATAGAACTCTGTGGACGCCTTATCCCACAGGGGCAGACGAAACGGTGCGGTGTCTAGCAAAGATTCGGCACTGATAAATGAAGAAAATGAATGCAAACTACTGCAAGACTACAAGCGATGAATACAAATGCATCGGAAGGAATAAAACGAGGGGGATTTATTTTAGAGATTACTCAGATTAGTATTTTAAATGCAGTTAGGAGCGCATGTATACAATTATTCCAATTATTTATTACCTGAATGTCCGGAATAGAAGCGGCTTCGTCAGTGAACGTCTTTGTTTCGTGTTTAGGGGTTTTCGTGAGAGATCCAATTGGAGGAGGAAACTTGAACATGAACTTCCGTTTGTTTGGCGACGATGGAGATTCGGGTATCTGGTGATGTGGTTGTTCTATATCAGATCCCATTGAACGACTGGCCATCTCATTAGCCATTGCAATAGCAGAATCGAGACTCTTTTCGTCAGAAGCAGATATTGGTTTCACCTTAAGAAAAATTAGTATAATGTGTCATAGTTTTGTTACAAAACCTTATTCATTGTCATAAAACTGAATGTACACTTTAGTATTTAAATTATTTTATATAGCATTTTACCGTAGCTTGTTTCTTTTTTGTTTTTGAATTCACAGCAGCAGCAATAGTAGCTGCAATTTCTCGTAATTCATTTCTATGATTTGTATCCAATGGATCAAGGGGAGACCTTGGCGGAGACACAGCATAATTACTGACTCCATTAGTACTTATAGTTCTAAACATGGTTTCCATTTCTTCGACAAGACTTGGTCCAAAGTCAAAAGTTTTCTAAAGTGAACATGTTAAGACAATTGTTATAAAATAATAACTATACTGATGATAAATTTGAACTTATTTCTTTTTTCTCGTTTTTAATTTTATTAAAAAAATATATACAATCTGTATAAACAATACAATAAGTAATATGGTTGATTAATAAACAAAACTGGATGGCTTGATGGAAGGGAGTGTCCAAACGACACTACTTGAGACTTATTTTTATTAAAATAATAAATCATGTATTTAAAATTTAAATTATAGGTAACTGAAAAATCGTGAATATTACACATATGTTTTAATAAAATAAATAACATTTAAAGAATTGAATTTAAAAGCTTTTCAAAAGACTTACTTCAAACCTAGGACTTTCAGCAACAGTATCTTCATCACTAATTTCATGGTATTCGTGGTCAGTCAAAATTTTTGCCAGCTTACTTTTATCTAACCAGGTTGTTAAATCTACTAATAACAATAAACAAAAATAATAATAAGTTAAATGCAAGTTTTACATTCAGAAATAAATACCATTTTTTTTGCTTTCTGATTTACCACCATTAAGTAATGGAGCTCGATCTGAACAAGCCTTAATTGAAGTTGGTGAATCACTAACACTAGCACAGTCTTCTTGTGGTTTGTATGGAGCTACAACTTGATGTGGTAAATGATTATACTAAATGAGATATGAAATAACACAAGAATAATTATACATTAATGAAAGAAACATTATTGTTTATTAACTGTTAATTACTTTTGGTGCATTTGTACTCATGAATTCAATATCTCCAAAATATGCACCATCTAAACCTACATGTCCCATATGTTTAACATCGCCTTGAGGACAAGATATCATATCGATCCTTAGACGACTACGTCGAGATGTATACTTTGAATCTGCAATATAATATAAATTTATAGATACTAAATGCAAATGAAAACTGGTTAGTTATTAATTACCATTTCTAGTGAATTCAGAATTTCTGTTGGATGGTAAATTCAAACCCAAATATGCCACAGTATTGGAAGGATTGAAAAAACCAGTTTTTCCATTGCACAATACACCTTTCCATAAGGTAGGAACACCCGGTCTAAAAAATATAAAATTATATTATTGATGTAGGTATYGTTTATATTAATAATTTTTTTTATTTAAATTTATAGTACACTTACGATTTATCGAGTACTGTTATGACTTCCCCAATAGTATATTGGAGCATGTCTCTTTTTTTATCTTCAAAGTTAACAACTGTTTGCACTTGTTCAGGTTTACACTAATGTTATAAGTATTTCATAAAAATTAATATCAAAAATAACTTTTACACTAATAGACAATAATACTTACATCAAGTAAAATTGATACTAAATCAGCAAATTTAGGTCTTTTAGCAGGATCRTGTTGCCAACATTTAGTCATGACATTGAAATATTCTTTTGGGCAGCAATCAGGCTGCTCTAATCTCTGAAATATATAAGTGTTTAATACAAAAATAAAAATTTTAATGTTTAAAGCTATAACTACCTGAAAATTAGGTTCATCAATAGCCTCAAGTATTTGTTGACCTGTCAGCGCTGCCCAAGGCTGAAAACCATAGCTGAACATTTCCCATAAAGTGACACCATATGCCCATACATCAGAAGATGAAGTAAAACGTAAATAACTTATACACTCAGGTGCACACCTAAATAAAAGATAAAAATTGAATGTGCTCAAAAACAAAACAAATACTATACATTGAAAATAAAAAATAAAAATATTATTACCAAGCAATTGGCAATTTCAGGTTCACATTAAAGTTAGTTTGATAATAGTCTTTGCCAACACCAAGTGCTCTAGATAATCCAAAATCTGAAATTTTCACCTTGTTCTTTGTAAACACTAATATGTTTCTAGCAGCTAAATCCCTAAAAAAAAAGTAACAATGACCATTTGATTGAAAATTTCGACTTTAAATAAATAAAATACCTGTGTATAAATCTTTTGATTTCCAAATAATGCATTCCATTACATATTTGTATGGCAAAATCACATAACGACATTACTGGAAAACTTGCACGGAGTGATGGTTCTTTTAAGCACTCCAAAAGAGATCTCAAAGGTGCTAACTCTGTCACCTAAAAATTAAATCACACAATTTAAATATCAATTAAACTCCTAATTCTTAAAAATTTCGTAAAAAAAAACATTAGTCATTACTAGCATTAAGGCATCGGTGTCCAAAACTACACCGTACAATCGTACAATATGCTCATTGTCAATGCTATGCATAATAGCTGCTTCCTTCAAAAACTCTATAGGATTATTTTGCATACGTTCTCTGCTCAAACATTTTATGGCAACTTGAATCTAATAATATATTTTTAAAATTAATATTTATGAAAAATATATCATTAATTTAAAACTAACCCTGTCTCCTTCATTGGTCCAAACACCTTGCTGGACTACGCCAAACTCGCCTACACCTAACTCCTTATTAATAGTTATGGAATCAGCTGGAATAATATGTTTATTAGGAACACGAGCTGGTGGTCGTTTTTCATAGATAGGCTTTAGTGTATCTTGTGAACCAGAACTATCACTCCACTGCTCTTTATTGTCTTTTGAGGAAATTAACTAAAATTTAAACATAATATTATATAGCACAACCACAAAATAAAATTGTTGTAAATTTTTACCTTTTTAAATTTTGAGAAATAATTTTGTGGATAATACTTTTGAAAATACTTTTTTAAACGTCTGATCTCTGGCTTTGTCATGCCTATTTGATATAGATCATCTTCGGTGACAAATTTTACTTGAGGCACAGTCATCACCTAAATCCAAATAATGKGCAACCATTAGTATAAACATTTGTAACTGGTCTACAGTTAAGTAGTAGTTGTCTTAACTTACCTTCAAGTCGTTCTTGAGTTCTGAATAGTACTGATGAAGTTCTGCTTCTAGTAGGAACTCGTACAGATCGATGACTTTTGACATTGTACCTGCTGCTGATAAACTTAAAACACCTGAATCATGTTAATAAAACAGTAATTTTAGAATGGTATGCGAGACAAGAGACTCTGCAAGTCCTGCAGAGTGCAGGAACAAGTTAACATTTTCCAGACTATTACCCTAACACAGCTATCTAATTATATCTATATCTGATCTCATAAAAGCTCCAAATCTATAATTTGTCAATAAAAATGGTGGGTATTTGAWTTGCAATTGTAATTTGTTGATAGCTGTTTAAAATCTTGAGTTAGGGGATTAATAAATTAGTAAGAGATGCAATATACTCATATATATATATTATGTAAAACAAGACAAATCTTATATAATAATATGGTCTAGAATATTAATTATTCAACAGATGATGGTACTTTATTAACAAATGTTTAGTTCCAAAGTCTTACACAACTTTTTACTACGTTCGAGCAGGCCTATTTGGCCAAGCTTCCAATACCTATAAATTAATGTACTTCAATACCCCCCCCCCTCAAATACCTACCCGACGATGAACTTTAGAAGAAATCTTAAAGTATGGTGCGATGACGACGTCAACAAACGGATATGGTCGGCCAGGAGAGTCGTAGGTGGAGAATATTCGAATTCTTCATAAAAAATGATTCGGTAATATTATAATATCTCAAGAAAAACGAAACGCCGGCACATCTTTCGTTGATTAGAATTCACGTCCGTTAGCCGTTTTCCGATTACTGCAAACCTCTAATATTCTTGAGCTTATTTTCACGCTGTTCAAATGGTGTAAATATTATCCGCAGTGAACTATAGACAATCAGGTATATTACAATACGCAGGCATCTACGAACTACACGCGTCTACCGTCTACCGACTACCGACTACGACTGCAGTAGCCAGCRCTCAGCAGCACACTACGGACTACGGTACTAATGACTAATGACTATAGAAGTATAGACTACCCGAGTACGGCTACTGACTTCGGGCACTACGGTAGTACGGTTCACTGTTTACTACTCGAAGTACTGTCCGCTCGGAGTCGATGCATACGATAATCAACACTCAAGACTCAAGAGACCACAATAATAATAACAATAATAATGAATATAATAATAATATTGCGAGAATAAAACAAAAACTTATCAGAAGTAATACCAACACTGCACAAATCTGACATATTTAGCTGATAACACGTTGATAATGACGTACTGACGTGCAGGCGCCAGGCATAGAGAGCCTAGCTTGCTGAGAGACTGAAAGAGTTAGAGCCTACATTGGCTATTAGCATTAATTAGCCTACCGCTGTTGCTGCTGCTGTTGCAGCGTCCTGTACGAATTTCCTTATAAAGTTATGTCTTCAGTTAGTAGGTAGCATTTAGAAGCATATTGTATAAAGTCCAAGGTACCTCTACGGCTATAAGGTGCATCCGCGTCATAAGTGGTTTTGGGTTTTTAAACGCATGTTTTTAGATGAATAATTAACAGTTTATTGAATTTTAATCATATTTTATTTGTTTAAAATTTAATTTTCAAGAAATTATATCATGTCATATTGGCAGGTTCATTATTATTGATTCGTTCATGGCTATAATTCTTTACTTAACTATTAAATTGGAGACCTGGTGGGGACGGATTTAGAAATACTTTACGAGGGAAGGGGGTACGCAATCACACAATTGACTTTATGCTTACAACTAAGCTGCCCAAATTGCTTAAATTTTGACATAAAAAGTATGTTGGCCACTTGGCTTCCAGTAATATGGGTATAAAATAAAAATAAATAAAAATAAACACATTAAATAACTACATTATAAAAACCTATTTTTAGGAATTAGGGGAACATGCGCACACTTCGCCACTCTTCTTGGATCTGCGAATGGGGAACTGTAACCTTTAACATAATGGGTAGAAAATGAGAAGTGTCGGTAAAGTATAATATATTAAAAAGATTTAAGATATATGAATGAAGAAACTGACATTGCAACGCACAGCCAAAAATTACTGGAACTAGAAAGAAAAAATTTAAATTTTGTTCGAAGGTCGGGAGGTGTCACCTATTGTAATATAGGCAAGTTTTCAGAAAAGATTTTTGGAAATTTAACTCCWATAAGAGTTTAAATATATGCCTCGGAGTTAGTAGTTACAGATATGCAAATAAATTAATCTGTATAATAACTGTTTATTATTTATTTTAAGTGTTACGGACTAATAGGCAATGTTATAACAATATTATTCAATGTTTGCATTAGCAATTTTTTGCACGTGTTTCATCGTGGTTAATGTTAAATACTTAAAATACATATGTTTCTGTTACCATTTTGTACACTTACTATAGTTACTATGTATAAACATACAGAAAATATTCCGAATAGCGAGTAGTCATGAGCTTTAATATAGTGCCTATATTTTTTATTCCTTAACAAAACAGTCGAATAATAAATTATTTAAGACACCCAGACCCAGTGCAGATGCCATATGGTCCATACAAATACACTTCACTGAAAATAATGATCCTATAATCTTGTAGAATTAACCAAACTTGATCATTTTTTTTTCAACTAATAAATAGTGTAATATTCTACAGACGCCGTATTGTACCTACTCGGTTTTTCAATGTATATTTATATCAAACATTAAATAGGTTTCGTCTTTAAAAATTAGACAATTTTTAACTTTTTTTACAAACTATTAAAGCCAAATAAAATAAAAAGTGGAGTTCATGATGCATGTAGAAGTCTTCTTCAGAGACGGATTTACACAATTGCCGCCCCTAGACAAATTTTTTTTTGCCRCCCCATTACGACTTAGTAAAAAAACGAAATATGTTATCTATGTTTAGTATTTAGATAATAGATAATATACGTTTCGGCAGTAGTTCGATTATTTACTTGGACGTTTACTGTTATGTATTACTCAGTATTAGTATTATAAAATAATGAAGAAATTATATTAACAAGAATATTATGTTATACAAATATTAAACATTTTCATTTTTCAAAGTAATCACCGTACATAAGAAAATCAAAAAGAAACCTAGATTATATTTTCAATAAAATATTGGCCTAAAATTGCCACCCCTAAAAATTTGCCGCCCTAGGCAACTGCCTACTTTGCCTGACGCTAAATCCGCCACTGGTCTTCTTACATTCTACAGATGRGCATTGGGCAATTATGGTGGGAACTGAAATATAAAATATAATTTTCTAATTTTATAGAATTRCGAAAATTGTTAAATATTTACATTGGGGCCAGGGGGCGTGGGCCCCTAAAAATTTAAAGTTTAAAACTTAGTGTTTATATTATTCTCTGAKTCTCTGACGTAAAATAGTTATATAATTTATTATGAATAATTTACCATTATTATTTTAAATGTTGATATTTTTTCTAAATAATTAATGTCTTATGCTCACGTCTCAACGTCTGTATGCTAACAAATCACTCTGTAATCAGTCTGTATACACATTTAAATTTAAAATACGATCAAATTGACTTATAGATATTAACATTAATAACCATATTTTATTGATTTATTCTTTAGCTATATTGTAGCTTTATACGTTCAATGCTTCTAAATTTACTATATAATATGCAGTACTTGATAAGATTTTAGATTATTATTATGRTTCATTTTACATTTATACCATATGTGATAAGTTACAATGTTACATATACATATAATATACATATAAACACATTATTACATTATCATGAATGACATTTTTTAATCGCTGTGAACTAGGTACCTATGTAGTGTACTATCTTTTTCAAAGAAATAAATAATAACTATTATTATAAAATTAAGTTACATTCTACAAGCTACAACCAAAAATATGAAAGATAAATATTAAACAGATTATTTTATTATATTATTTAAAATTTTTTTAATATTTGRTACTTGTGTATACGCTTTATCTGCCCATGGTGATTATTATAATTTATAATGGTCAATAGTTTCAGTTTACTAAAAAAAAATGACAACTAGATAGCAAATAGTTAAAATTTAAATACGAATATTGGTAATGCATAGTTATTATATTAAATCAAAGTCCATTTTTCTGAATATTTATTTCTAATTAGCTATCAAATGACAACAATCAATTTATTTATAAATGACATATTATTCTGTTGATAATTATGTCTTGTTATCTTTATATAACATACTTAGTCTAATTACTTAAATTTGATAACATTTTGTACTAATTACTAATACATATTACTTATTAAAAATTATTTTTAAATCCTTTAGTATATACTATATATTAACAATTATTAGACATAAATAGACGCGTATCTTTATAATTTTTCTCGAAAATAGCTTCAAGCATTTTACACCTATATTGTTGGGATTTTTTTGATTTAAAGAATTCATCTGTGAAGGTGTCAACTCCAAGAAAATGAATGTTCTTATAAATTAATCTTCGAATAATATATGTTTGAAATAGTAATGAATATAATATACTAATATAATATATTAATGTGTTTCTCTATTTATTTATTGTATTTAAAATTCGAATAACCCTTAATAATAATTACTATCTAGTATGAATARTGCCTCAAATTAATGATCATTTTCAAAGCACAAAATTTTAGATACATTATGATTTCTGACTTTCTGAGAAATAAATAAATAATCGTCCCAAAAATCTCATGTTCAAATCACGTGAAATTATGAAACAGATATCATTATTTATTAAGATTTTAAAATTCAAATTATTGTATAAGAATAAAAAGATAAAATTTATTTAAAACGAAAAACAAACGATTAACAATTGTACATTTTATGTAGCTCATCAACTCAATTACTCAAATAAATTCCTTTGACTTATTAACTTTTAAAGTTTATTCTAATGATGAATATTCTAATCAATTTTACATTGTACCTTTAATTATTGGAAAATAAGAAAAATTCACTGTGATAAAGTMTCATAATAAATTACGTATGTGTACACACTACACAGCATTTTGGCAATGTAAAATACAAATGTATCAAGTTTAAATAAAATCCATTTAAATCAACAATAGGGTGTGTTTAGGTGAAATTGTCGTGATGGTTTTGAGACATATTTATTTAATGTTGACCAGAATATCAGATCACAATAAATTTTACTCGGTGTCACTGAAATCCATTTGATAAATTCGTCATCAGTAAAGTTGTAGTATGGTCTCATCTGGTGAAAAATCTTCCAAAAATTTTCGTTTTTGCCGTTGTGAGTTAAGCAGTTATAAAAAATAATAACAATAGTAGGTATAGAATAATATAGATATAATAATTTGAACTTGCTTAGCTCAAGATTGATTAGCACGAAATCAACGATAACTTGAATTTTTTCTCATCTATAAACAATGTAAAAATGTAAAATATTATCGTGTTTAATTCAAATATTTCTTAGAAAACAGTACTGGCCACTTAGGCTATATTACAGGCAATTTACAGCTAGTTCGATCATTATGTTTATTTTCTGGAGGGATGAGGGCTAAACATGGGCAGATGCCTATCATTTTTGGCCTACCGAAAAATTTTAAAAAGTGGCCTCCGCATGAAAAAAAGCGGGTAAGTGTATGTCACTCTGCTGTACATTAGGTGGTGGGGTGGACCCCTGACTAGGGTAGGTTAAATCTGAATTCAATGATAGGTATCATTGTATACGAAAAACGATTCTGAACGGAGATGATTTGTCAGTCTAGGATATAGGTATATTATATTTAAATATTGCCATGTATTCTATTTTGAAACAAATATATTATTTTTCAATTAGGACGCATTTT